CTACCCCTTGTTTACCGATTTCACCCGACTCCTGCCACCACATCTCTCCTACTCGAGGCATTATTCGCTCTCCTCTGCGTCTGGGCGACTGATTCGAGGCGCAAGCCTCTGAGTGTCATGGTCACAGCCTTGCTACATGCAACACATCTTTGGTAAAAACGGACCTACTGTCAGCCAATAGGCTCCAGTCTCCTTCGCTGCTATCCTATTTCTATCCATAATACCATGTCTATCTCCTGCCATGCCCTAGTCTATTGTGTGTAAACCCCCAAACGTTGTGGTTAAACATTAAATTTAATCAAAGCAAGCAGTATCACAACTCACTGACGATGCGGACTAGGATACCGGCGAAAAATTTGGGAGTGTACCACGTCCACAGTCCGACTTTGGAAACAACCATGCATACAATAGACTTAGACTAGATGCGTTTCTCTAAGTCTTTCTACCAATATGACCAAGTTGTGAAAACAAGGTCAAACAACTTCTATAGAACGGAAGGAGACTGCGGCGACACAAAAGGCCACACCATCATATCTTCGAATAAATATTTATTATTAATGGCTGATTTGAATTATCTATTGATTGAATCCTTGTAGATGCTAAGAGAAACTGGGTTTCGATGAATCTCTCGAGGTGACATTGTTGGAGGAACTTTCATTTCGTATGTAGGTGCATGAAGAAGAGATTCGTGGGTCGATCTCACTAGAAGAGGACGGATGAATTCCGTTGTACTGCAGCCGTTTGGCTTTTGTACGGAAGTTCAGCTTGACGCAGTCCACCTAGAGTTAATGTGAGACCCAGCTCTGATGATGTCCATCATATGATGGACGAAAGCTCGGCCCGTTTTCACCAAAAACGAGGGAGGATGCCTCATGGACTGTGCCATCCTGAACGGCGTATAAAAGCCAAACAGCTGCAGTACAAATGGATTCATTCGTCCTTTTCTGGTGAGATCGATCTGCGCAGCTCTCCTTCATACACTTTCATACGAAATGAAAGTCCCCCCAACAAATCATTGCCAAACTTTTTACTTGGTGTAATCTCAGGATATTGATCTATAGGTAACTATAGGGCCTAAGGGCTATCCAACTAACTTTACTCTCTAAATGGAAAGTCATGTTAAAATATATTACAAAAAAAATTTGAAACCTAGCTTTTCCTCTCCCTTCGGGTCCTATCAGAGTCCCCTCTTGCTCCGTATGAACCTTCCATTATCTGTCTGTTTAAATGACTTCATTCCATCGCTGCCACCATATTCGTGCTACTCAAGGCATCTACACTTTGCTTCTTGTCTTTGATAGCATGTATACACCAGCCTCAAAAAGCAGGCTCCTGACCTAGGATGACTAACATATTATTTAAGAATGAATGTCAATCTCGAGAACTACTTATATTGAAAACAAGTAGATTTTCCAAACTTTCTCTCCTCCTTCCATACCTTCAATATACTGCATAACCTGTTAGTCTAGAGTGCCTCTTTCATTTTCCTTTTAGAAGCAGAATCGCCATAATCAGCAAATTTGTGCATTAAAACGAATGCTATCTACAGTTCTGTCACTGCAAAACTTACTCCTTTATCCAGCAGCTATTTCAAGTACTTTGAAATCGGCTAACCATTGGAAAATAGGGAGAAAGATGGCGTCAAAACAAGAGTGACCAACTAAGCAGACTATCCAGTGAGAATTTTTTCGGTAGATAATAAAGATAAATACGAATTATGAAAAGTAATATGGCCAACAATGGGTATTGGGAGTGCAAGTAAAAAGGCATAAATTCCATCGCATTTGGAATTAGTGAACTAGAATATCATTCAGAGTCAGACAATTCGTAGCCCATATCAACCCTTAAAATCTCATATTTCAACACAAATTGAAATTCGCTGGCCAAAACGACCAAAATGCGCATACAATGTGTAAAAGTGTGCCTGTAAAATGCCAAGATAAGATAATAAAGAAAGCACATTTCACACAAATAACATCTCACCTATGCAGAGGATGGGCTATCTGAATTAGAGCATGAGCGCGTTGCCTCTGGCTTTTACCGAAGAGGTGGGCCACACCAAACTCTGTAACAATATAGTGCACATGTGCTCGTGTCACCACTATTCCGGCACCCTTTTTGATGTATGGAACAATTTTTGATTCATTCTTGCTTGTCGTTGACGTTATGGCAAGGATAGGCTTTCCCAAGCCATCCTGTGCTATGGCGGCGCCTCGCAAAAAGTCTACTTGACCACCAAAGCCTGAATCGAAAGGCAACAGACAAAGAGATTTGACGAGAAATAAATAGGAGATTAAGTCAAATGTGGGTTATGGCAAGGGATTTAACTCTATCTAAAACCAATTGCTTAAACTGTCTATTCACGGAATCTACTTAACCGTGGGCAATAATAAAAATAACATAGTGTTATACAATTTCGGCAAAAAAATTATTTTTTCCCACTTAAAAGTGGGCACGTCAAAAGAAAATTTGTGCAGAGCAAGCAATGCTTTTTATTTGAAGCATATTTATGTCTCAAGATAATTTAACCACCTTTAGTGGATTTTTTTAATAATTTTATGAGCATACATCACTATACCATGTTATTTCAATTTATCCTCATTGCCGAATAGGAGCAAAGCTAATTTATCTTTATGGGCATCGGGAGGTCTGCATCCGGAAAAAAATCACGAACAGTCCATAAATAACTTTGAGCATAGGCCGAATAATCTCATATTCAACAATTACGCATAGTTTATAAACATACTATTAGTGTAATGAGATGTATGATACTATTAGTGAATATTCATATCTTGTATAAAGATGCTTGGCCAGCTTTTAAGTGAATAATCTACACAGTTAGAGAAATAAGTCGGTAACTTTGGTGTGCTGGACATCTCTTGGAGCAATTAAGAAAACCTCTACACTCAAACAACCTTTATATATTCTTATTACGGATTGCAAAGATTATTTCTTTCTTGTGGCACATAAGCTCGGATCACAAATGAATTAATAAGACTTATAGCAGAAAAAGGAGATGATGCAGCGTTATAGATATAGCACAGATATAGCATAAATAAATAAGTATGGTTGGAAATATAAATAGCAAAGTACTGAGGTATGTCAAAAATAAAGAAAATTCTATAGGAACACCGATTAAAAGAGAAAAGACAGAGCTAGACAATTAAAAATTTAAGTGAACTAGTCATTGAGAAATCTTTAATCTGTAAGAAAAACTCATCGTCAAAGAAGGGCAGTTTTAGTTAAAAATATTTAGATTTGCTTAATATTAATATAATCCAATTCAAGCAATAAAATGAGGAAGGTAGGTTTCGGATTTGAAAATGTCTCTGAACGATTCAGCTGTGGTGCTTTGGTAGACCCTCCGCTAAAAAGGAATTATTGAATTTATTTTTATGGTTTTACACAAAAAATAGTTTTAAAAACAATCCAAAGAAGAGTTTGCTATGACCAAAATTACCATATTATAGAAAATATTTGACCTTGCTTTCGCAACTTGGTCATATTTACAGGAAGATCTACAGTAACTCACCGTGTCCGGAGACTATAGGATACATGATAATTTCCAGAGTCAAACCGTGGACTTGGTACATTCCCAGACGCTTCGCCGGCATCGTCAGTGAGCCTTACCATTCTTAGCACCACACTACAGCTCGTCAAAGGGACAAGTGAATTCGACCCTTTGACCAAATTTGTACTAAACAGTTGTGGTATCTCTCCTGTCCTGGGCTATTCACCTCTCCTATATCCTTGTATCACCCCTTCAATATCACTATTTCTTACTTGTTTATCTAGACCCAATTGAAATATATTCACTCCCCACTGGTTTCCTCATCCTTCCCACTGTGTCGAGAGTGTTGATCCAAGGCTGCGGTTTAATCCTTAATCCTTTCTCTTCGTTTCCTATCAGATTCCCCTCTTGCTTCATTGGATTCTTCCCTTATCTGCCTGTTTCAGTGATTTAACTCCATTGCTGCCACCGTATTGGTGCTACTCAAAGCTTTGTTCTACACTCTGCCTCAAGCCGTTGATAGCACGTATAGCCTACCCTCGCTGAGCAAACCCATAAAGTCTGGATTCTCAATTGGCATGGCAACCCAACTTGACGCTGCAGATTCCCTTGTTGCTGTTCGTGGTCAAGTCCTTACCTCATGGGCCACGTCTATGAGCAAACCTATCTACTAATAGCCAATTAAAATTGCGACTACCTTTTATCTCGCTCTTCTATGACATTATATTGCGTGCCAATCCCTCAAATATGATGGTTCTACTTGGTTTGAATAGGCTCACTGGAGATGTCTTCTCTTGATTTCAGATTGTTCCTCTTTGGTCTCCTTGTACTTTCTTTTCATACATTAAAAGTATTACCATTGTCAAGTCGTCTTCTTTTTGCTGATATCTCTGTTACCTGATCTTGTCTGAATTCGTTTAGGCAGTATGAAAGTTTTCTCTAATCCTGCCTTCTTTAAGTTTCCTGTTCATTAGGTTTCTTTCAGTCAGGATATCAATGGCTTCTAGTATCTTACGTTTTCTTGTATTTCCACAATATACAGCCAGCCTTTATGTCGATTTCTACTCGATTTCGTGTCACGTCTGTGTGATACGTTCCGCTATTTCTTATCTCTCAGTGTCCATGTTTCTGTTCCACCAATATACTTCTGCTCACAGCTACCGCATTTGATGCTATAGACTTCCGAGCAATCCAGTTTGTCAACCTTCTTGTGTTGCGTCGGCAGGTTTGTGAATAAAGTTGTCTTTTATTTTGTTATAACCTTGATATTACCTTGTAACTGTTGCAATTTCTGGCTCAGTTCACAGGAAGACAGACATATCCACTTTTTTTCGTTCTCCCGATTTCTGATCATATTTGAAATCTGCTCTTTATGACCCCTATATTTATTTATATACATTTTCTTGGGTATACGTCACTAAGGCAACTCCGAGTATGCTT